AGTAGCACACTCCGTGTACACATGAGAACTCACACAGGTGAAAGACCGTACAAGTGCCAGACTTGCGGCAGAGGCTTCGCTCATAGCAGTAATCTTTGCAAACACGTGAGGACTCACACAGGCGAGAAACCTTACGAATTCCATACATTCGGCAAAGGGTTCACAGAAAGGAGCAGTCTACGTGGGCATGAGGCGTCTCACAAAAATGAGGTGATGAGGAGAGGCCCTATGACTGCCAGACTTGTGGCGCATGTTTCTACACCACTTTATCTCTCAAAAGACATATGAGGACATAACGCAGGTGTTACACCTCAATTTTACCAGACCTTCTTGCGAAGGTTTCAATATCACATGGTGCTCACCTCTGTAGTCATTCTTATTGTTTATGTGTCAGTCCTGCTCTGCCGCGCTTCTTCAACCAGGTGTGAAAAACTCCGCGGGCACATGCCAAGCAGTAGCAGATGACCAACAATGCTACTGACGACATGAATGGTGTGTTTCTCGTGCGGGGAATCAAGGATATAAATAACACGCATGTATACTTTCACTTCATTTCGCAAGGCAGTGCATTTTTTCACATGTCCGTCCATCACAGGAAGAACTATATTTGTTAGGAACTAGGTGATGCAAAGTCAGCCAAGTTCACCCGACACATTGGCGCTCTGGTACTGTTAATTTGCTAAAGCTTTTATGGCACTGCATAAGAAAATATAAGTTATGGCATTATCGATTTAAGATTGAGCTTCCTAGTTATTCGATCAAAGTGACACCTCCCCCCCCCCCTCCACAACCCCACCTCGCAAATGGAATTTTGTAAAGACAATCGTGGGGTGGGAGTTAGTCACTGTCGTCGCTGACTTACACCAGAGGCAACCAATGTGAAATTAAACATGTCCAACTTTGCCAATATTCTGCAGACACAATAAGGTACATTACTTGGCAGAGTTAATCATATAAGTTAACAGAAATACCCACAGGTAACAAAGATTCATACAAAATACATTTCACTATAGCTTTGACTAAGTTGAAAGCACTAGACGCTGCTAGACCAACATAGTCTTTTTTATTGTCAATTTCTTAATTAATTGTGTTGACGAGTCAGCAAAGAGAGAAGGGAGCTGGTTCAACAACACAACGAGAAATAAGGTCTTTGATCGGACGGCTTTTCATGGCCGGGCAGTGTCATTGACGGATTAAAATAACTTATAAGCTTGCTGGTAAACATTATCATCACAATAATACTGTCATGGAAAGTTGTACGTCGCTTCTAGGACCCACGTGGATACGGCAAGCAGGTGGGTGGCTCGATCACCACCAGGACGTCAGGACGTCACTTAGAGACTGCTGTGCCCACGTTGGTCCTACACTCAAGTAGAATGGAACAAAATTATTAAAACTACTTAAACCGACCAGTAGAATCGTAAAATTGCTGTTGATCTCGATTGAGGCCTGCAACAAAATCACCCCGTAACCCGATTAGGAGTGTCACTTCTCCAGGGTTCCTTCACTCTTACCAAACACTTGACCTCCGTGCCCGGAAGTACCCACTCTCACAACCACTCACACACGCACACACACACAACACTGGTCCAGTCGCAGGGCACTACGACTTGCCAAATCGGCCACTAGAGGGGGCGGGCTGAGAGTTCCTCCTGAGGGCGAGCACGGCGGCGGGCGACGACATGCTGGCCACCACCACGGCAGAGGTCCTGCGGCCGAGTCGCGCGCCCGCCGCGCTGGCGTTGTCTACCAGCAGCGGGGAGTCCATCTCTAGGAGGCCTCCGCCGTCGCCGTCGTGCGCGTCGGCCGTGACTTCAGCCGCGCTGGCGCCGGCCTCGGACCCGCCGAGGCCGCCGGTCAGCGCCATCTGCTCGTCGTCCTGCTGCACGGAGGTCTCGGCTGCGGACGGGATGGTGGTGAGGAACCTGACGGTGAGCCGGCCCGGCGACCCCGGCGGCTCCAGGACCAGGTCGTCGTGGATGGCGGACTGGCGGGTGAGGCGGGGCTTGGGCCTCATCGGCCTGGTGTCTCCAACGGGCGCCGCCGCCGTCGCCGCCGCCGTCCCAACGCCCCCCGCGTGCGCCGCCACACTGCACGCGGCCGAGGCGCCCGCCCCCGCCACCGACCCGATCCCCGACGCGGATGCCCCCACTCCCAGGGGGCCGATGGCGCCCAGCGCCCCCAGCGGCCCCCGGACGTCACTTGACGCGCTGGAGCGGGACATCCTCCAGGTACTTGTACTCGCCGTCGTGGCTGAACCCGACGAGTCGTTCCTGTAACAGGACGTGAGGCGTGTGAAACAGACCGACAGCCTAACGCTGGCCCGGGGCTACTTTACTCGACTGCTACACCCTCCCCCAAAAGTAACAAAATCAACGCAAAACGGGGAAATCGGTTCACGTCGGTGGGCTTGTGAAGTACACCTCGACCCTCGACGCCATACCCACCTCGAGCTGGACAGGTTGGAGTCCTGCGAGGTCTTCCTGGTGACGAGCCACGACGAGGCCCTCCGCTTGGGGTCCAGCAGGCGCATGGGGATGCCACAGTGGTGCTGGTGCTGCCTCCACGAGTCGGACCTCGACGAGGAGAAGTTCTCGGAGGACGACACGGATGAGGCGCGCTTGTGCTGCTTCTGCTGGATCTCTGCGATCTGGAACAAAGCAGAACGAGGGTCAGGGCGATCTGAGTGACCCACGTAAAGTTCAATATTCGACCTCGATTCGAGGTCGAATCAACATTATTCCATTTCTCGCCACTGGGAGTCGGAGGGAAAGGTCGCTCACCTGGTACGCGTACTGGTCGGAGCGCGGCCGGTGTTCGGTGTCGCGGCGCGCGCACAGCAGCAGGCACTGCAGCTTGCCCAGCAGCCAGACTCGCGGGTTCGCCACCCCGTCCGCGTCGACGGCGCCAGGGCGGCCGCCCCGCCCTGTCGGCGTGCTCCCGTCGCGCCCTTCGGCGCGAGACCCGGACCCCGTGCTGTGAGAGAAATCAGTTTAGGTTAGCGATGGGCTGGAGCAGTGCGAGAGAGGGGGGTTGGGGTGAAGTATAGAGGCAGACCTGTCGCTCAGCAGCTTGGCCGAGCAGTGACACGGCTTGGTGTGCGAGTGCGTGTGGGCGGTGTGCCCTGGGTGGCCCGGGTGCTCCCGGGAGGACCGGTCCACCAGGCTGTTGGTGTTGGCCGGGGTCTGGCGGTTGCTGAAGTTGGACGAGTGCCGGCACCGCCCGATGCCGCGGGTCACCCGCGACTCCTCGATGGCCTTGCAGATGAGCACGCAGTCCTTCTTGAACTGCTTGGTGAGGATGGCGTACAGGAACGGGTTGCAGCAGGAGTTGAGCGGCAGCACGAACACGGTGAACACCTTGGCCTGCTCCAGCGACACGAGCTGGAGGCCGAAGGCCGCCGTCAGCGAGAAGAAGGCGATCGGCGACCAGCAGAGAAAGTCCGTGAAGACGAGCAGGGCCATGCGCTTGGCGATGCGGGAGTCGTTGGAGTTCCACGCCTGCAACACGACGGCGCCATATCACTCAGGGTGCACAGGGCGGTCAAGGCGCTAAGTGGTATTTCACTCAAAAAAAAGTGTACACCGTCCAAGCAATCAGAAAAAAATCAAGGAAAAATTGGAAAAATCATTCAAAATCAGGAAAAAAGCAGAAAAATAAACACAAAGAAAATCAAAAATTGGTTGACGCTTGGATTTTTAGTGAAGTACCCCTCGGGTGCGGCCGTATGGTTCGCACGCCACTGTACCTGAGATCCCCGGATGGCGCAGTACATCTTGAGGTAGCAGCCCATGAGGATGAGGAAGGCGACGCCGTTGATGAGCATGAGGAAGACGACGTAGGCCAGACTGACGGGGCCGGTGGTCGTCTCGAACGGTAGGCAGATGGCGAACTTGCGGTAGTCGGAGACGCCGAACAGCGGCAGCACGGCCATGACCAGGGCGAAGGCCCACCCGCACGCCATGATGTAGGACGCGTGCCGGAGCGACAGTCTTCAAGCAGAACGCAGTCAAAACAGTGTAATTAGTAAAAAGGTTTTTGTTTTGTTGTGTGTGAGGGCGCGATTGTCGTGGTCACCATACCTCTTGTTGAGGTGCATGGCGTGCGTGATGGCGTAGTTGCGTTCGAGGGTGATGACGGCCAGCGTGTACACGGACAGCTCGGCGCTGAGGACGCCCAGGAACCCGGCCAGCTGGCAGCCCACCGACATCTGCCAGGGGATGGCGTACATGCGGAACTCGCCCAGCGTGGACGCGTCGACGACGGCCAGGAAGCCTGTGTGCAGAGCGACGAGCGTGAGCAAGAAGGGAGAAGACGACGAGTCTGGGCGAGCTTTTCTCGCACACTACTTTCTGTCTACCCCAAGTCATACCCAGGTAGACGCCCATGAAGAAATCGGCGGCGGCCAGGTTGCAGACGAGGAAGCGCGGCACGTCAATCTTGGACCGGGAGAAGACCAGCACGAAGACGACCGTGCCGTTGCCCAGCATGGCCAGCAGGAACACCACCCAGACGCCGCACCGCAGCGTCCACCAGTCGAACAGGTCCTGGCACGGCAAGAAGGGTCCTGCAACAACCGGGAGTGTGGGAGAGTCAAGCATAGAAAACACGCAATACCACATTATTCCACCGAAAGGTAAGGCCAACCCAGCCGGGGGTCGTGGGGGTATGGGCGAATGACCATGACGGCGTCTGCTCCTGGGAGGGAGGCTGCCCGTGTGGACTTAGCTTTACCCACACTACCCGGAGAGTCGGCCAGTGAGCGTTGGGTAGGCGCGTCACGTGCGCAGGGGGGCGCAGGGGGCCCGGTGTGGTGGTCGCAGCCAGCCGCTCGGCCTGCTGTGCGCGCCGTGCGGCACCGGGGACCTTGACACGGTCAATGAAGCGCCACCAGGACCCACCACCCCAAAGCTTAATGTATGCAGTGCACTTGCGCGTCGCCATGAGTTATGTCGGGGGCAGAGGGCGCGTGCGTAAAGCACTGTCGCTGCGACGGGGGAGGGAGCGGGGGGGGAGGCCTACACGGCATGATGTGCCGTGCACGTACACTCTTACACATAACGCATTCATCCGAATATAACGATCCTAGTGGGAGGAATGCGAGGCATCGTCGCGAGGAACAGTCCGAGCAGCACCCCGACCGCATCATGGCCGTCATGGCCGTCATGGCCATGGCACTGACCTCTCCCACCCGCCGCCCATCCCAGACACGGCCACTGCTGCCGCCGCTCCCCTCCTTCGCTCTTGTCGTGATCGCCGAGGCTCCACTGTTGGACGGCCCCGCTCCCCCTTATCGCTGTTCCCGCCTCCGCCACGTCCACGAAATGAGTTTCATGTTGTTGGCAGCACCGGGGCCCGCCCCCTCCCCTCCCCCAACGACGCCCCTACCCCTCTCCCCCTCCTCAGGGATACTTTACTTTTCCTTCCGGCGCGGTCTAGCCCTCAGTCTAGTCTAACCCGAGGCAAACCTTTCCCAAAACAGAGGAGTCGACGTGACTCGCGACTCATGTGACTGCAATAACATGTCGCTATGTGATCTGCAATGCATACTGCACGCATGGGCCATGGGTATTTTGACAAGTTAGGGATCGCCCAGAAAGTAAGTACGTCCGTTTTCCTCAGACATTTGATAAATTAGTGCAGCACGGCGCCTGTGAGACTCGGGGTAGGCCATCCCGCAGTACACGCATGCAGTGCAGGCGAGACGTTGCCTGCCACACAGGCGCTATGAGGAGAGCTTGCAGCGGCCGAACTTAGCAGGTTCGTCACGGCAAATGACGGACGTACTTTCTGGATTACCCTTGGGTGCAATTTTTGTTTCAAAAACCAATTCCGTAGGTAGTCAGTCGGTAGGTTTCCTTTTGTTTTCGTGGTGGGGTGCGGCGAGCACGGCGAGTCCTGCGCGGCCCTGCCCCACTGGCGCTGGCGTGCGTCGGCGGGGCCGGGCCGGTTACGGCTGTGGGTCGGGCTGCACTTCCGGTGGCCGCGCGGCCCGGACCAGGCCAGCCAATTGCCCTATGACGTGGAAAGCAGCCGGGGGTGTGGTGGTGGTGGTGTATCCCGCCGGACCCTACCGGACCACACCGGGGGGAGAGAGGGACCAGGACCCGGGCGCAGGTCCGACTGAGAGGGGAAGAGGACCTCCTCGGCGGCGTGGCTGCGGAGGTCAATGAAGCAAGAGCGGGGCGAGGCCGCGGTCCTTCCCCCTCCCCCTGCCCAACACCGGGCTGTGATTTAAAGGGGTGGCCGGCGACGGCACTGGACCGAAAAGTGCAGCGGAAAATCGATGAAATACCGACGGGACTTTTTCGCCGCTGCTCGCCCTGGTGGGTACGTTTCACTGGGGACCGTCGCCCCCCTCCGCCCCCACCCCCCTTCTTTCCCTCCTTCTCCCGGAAGTTGTCGTCTGCTGAGGGCCTTTTGGACAATGC